TCCCTACACATATTACTAAACTCAAATGTTTGTCCATTTCAAGGGGCAAGGATAGATAAATATGCATGTAAAGAGCATGAAGTGATTCAGGATGAGCTGTCAGATGTGTATAAATAAACCCGATAGTATTTGAGAGTATTCCCTGACACCATCATATCTGCAGGCAGCTTACACCAGTAATTTGTAATTCATAACTTCACTGACATCTTTTTCCTCACAGGATTTGACCATATAATTAAAAATGACATCATCCAGTGTAATTGACCATAAATTTAAACGGATTGGATTGTTTCTTAAAATGGCAAAGAACTCAGCAGATGACCTTCATCACAGGTGTCACCAGATGGTGTCACATGGCCAGATGTTTGTTTCACCTGCTGTTTCTGCTTCTCTTTAGGTGCTCTTGTTCTGCATAACTGCGTCGCTCTACATGTTGTTCTTCAGGTCAGGGCTCCACAGTTGTTACTGTTACAGTGAAATAGGGAAAATAGCTGTGCTATAAATATCCTTCAGGTCTTAAATCCAAGAGCAAATGTTTCAAGGTTGAGTTGAATTTTGTGTTTTATTTTGCAGGAGTAAAGATGGTCTCAAAGGCTTTGCTTTCTCTGCATTAAAGTAAGTTGTCCCTAATGCCGCTGATACTTGGGCGTAGATCTGTGACTGTTTCTGTAAAACCTACAGAGGTGGTGTGTGTTTTCTGTTGCAGGTTTATCATTGGGAAGGAAGAGATCCCAGCTCACTCTGGCACAGCAGAACATATCTGCACAGTGCCTGTTGAGGGGACAGCTGCTATAGAGACAGAGGATTCAGAGGTATCAGCCCAGAGGCCCAGCTCCATTAGGAAAACTCTGCTATCTTATGCCAGGAAACTGCTAGAATCACTGTGAGAGAATACACACTTCTACACACCTTTATGGGATTGTGCAGAGTGGTATGCAGTACTAACTACTACTTCTTCTTTTTTGTTTTTTAATTTCCAGATGCAAACGGGGTCCAAGACACAGATGTTGTAAACATCACCAAGACAACTGTTTTTCCTACTGCATTAAAGTGAGCCACGTTCTTAACCAAGATACTACCATTTGTGCGACTATCATTTATGTAGTGATGCAATTATGATACTCAAACCCTATATTATAAAATGATTATATTACAGTAAACACTTTTTTTCTTTCACTGTCCAGGGTTTTGTCAGGATGTTCAGCGTTGGCTACCTGATTCAGTGTTGTCTTAAAGTGCCCTCAGCATTCAGGCACATGTTCTCCAAACCCTCGCGGCTCCCCTCTCTGTTCTACAACAAAGAGAACTTCCAGCTAGGGGCATTTCTAGGATCTTTCGTCAGTATCTATAAGGTACATTTCATAACAGCAGTTTTTTTTTGTTTGTTTTTGTCCTAGAACATGTCAGGATTAAAAAGTTTTTTGTTGTTCTTGCTGTACTACTATATCCCTGCGATTCCTTTCTCTGTTTCCTTACATATTTGGTATTGTTTGCTAAAATTTCCCATCCTTGTCGTACTATAACATGTGAGTATGTGAGTGCTATATTGTTTCACTCAGGGAACAAGCTGCTTGCTGCGCTGGATCCGTAACATTGATGATGAACTACATGCGCTGATAGCCGGTAAGACAGGATTGTGTAAACTGTCAGGTAAAACCCATGTAGAGCAGCACTTCACTGTCATGTCTCAGCTGATGTACCGTTTGAACATAGTAGTCTCTTTCCATTTTCCCTTGTCTCTCAAGGCTTCTTGGCTGGTATCTCAATGTTCTTCTACAAGAGCACGACAATATCCATGTATCTCTTCTCTAAGCTGGTGGAGGTAAAGGAAATAAAGCAGCTTCACATGTCACATGTAGAAACAATGTTAATAATCATGGTGAAAAGGAAATTAAACTGTCAAGAAAATGCACATCAAAATTGATCTTTCAAAGATAGAGTAACTGTAGTTACTGAACCTCACTTCTTAAAAAATAAACATACATTAACATAAAGGTTTAGTGAGTATTTTACATGTATACAGGAAACTAGGTTACTTAGGAAATCTGAAAAGGTGTTTACGTGCACTGTAGTAATCTGGTTATACTGTTAATCTGTGCATACATGCAGCAGGTTAGTACCAGCCATCACTAATCTGGCGGCCTGGCTACTTTTGGTTACAGCAGAACTGTGTTGAAACGTTATGAAAATGGCAGTAGTTCCTCAGTTAGCAGATTTCTGGTGTAACTGTATTTGACTTGTTAGTAAAATGATGCAGTACTTGTCTGTTTATCTGGATTAGCCAGTTTATCATCAACAGCCCATGTAATAATAATCTGTCTCTCTAGACCATGTACTTCAAGGGCATTGAGGCTGGCCGGGTCCCATACTTTCCTCATGCAGACACAGTCCTATATTCCATCTCCTGTGCTATCTGTTTCCAAGCTGTAAGTAACATACACAACGATGCATACGCACTGACACAAAGATGCTTTGCACGCACTTTTTTTCTGCTGAATAAGGATATAATGTGTGATGCGTTACTGTTACACAGGCTGTGATGGAAGTGCAGAACCTTCGGCCTTCATACTGGAAGTTTCTCCTGCGTTTAACGAAGGGCAGGTATGAATGTATGGCATGAAGTCTGTTGACTAACAGTACTGTCAACAGTGTTTTGTTTGAGAGTTAGTCATAACCTAGGACATCAGTTGCACCTTTGTAAAAAAATAGTGTATTCATTTCAGAGAGAAATGAGTGCTAAATTTAGGACAGATAACAAGCATAGCATTCTTTAATGTTACTGAAGGGGATAAGATGGTTGTTTACATGGACTTTAAAATTCCATCATGAACCTGATACAGATTTCTGATTACTAAATAACAGCCAAAGTGAGAGGAAGCATCATTTGATTGATCCATATTGGTTTCATTAGTGATGATCATTTTATCTGTGATATTGTATTTGAGCTAAGATTGTCAGCATTTACCACACAAGTTTGCAAGAAGGGAAGAAAGCAATAGTCAGAATTTTTTTTTTCTTTTCTGTCCATCTTCGCTTAACTTCTCACTGAAAATTGTCATAATGGTCATTTCTCATAATGACTATTGTCTGTCTCCTCCTAGGTTTGCTCTAATGAACCGACAGTTGCTCGATGCGTTTGGGACTCAGGCCTCCAGGGACTTTAAAGGCTTTGTTCCCAAACTGGACCCTCGTTACATGACAGTGCTTCCACCGGGAGCTGACATCCAACTCTGATGACCTGGGACAAGGCTCTGAGAGGGGCTTTAGGGTTACCTGACTCTCAAATGGACAGTTAGTCTGTTCTTTCTCAGTAATGTAAGGATTTTTCAAAGGTGTCATAACAGCTCAGAAGTGGTGATAGGATATGATCTGAAGGATTTGGATCTGTCCAAAGCAGGCTGGAGCAAGACAAATCTTTTAAAACATACTAATAAGAACGCTACTTGAATTATTCCTTCATATTTTGTCAGGTTGTCAGTTTACATGTTGCAGGATTTTTGTTATTCAGTCTGTTCCTACAAAGCACTGTAGCAATGGCACTATTTAGGTAAGTAAGCTTATAGTTAATCCAAATCACAAAACACCCAAAAATGTGTTAATAGGAAGATGACTTTACTTAGGATGCCGCAACATTCCTTACATTCTTTAAGCATGTATTTTCCATTTAGAAATGTGTCTATAGGTTGGTACTAACTGGACTCAGTTGTTTTTTGTAATGTTGCTTTCACATCAGAGGATGCAACTCACTAATCTGTGTGAAATAAGCATCACACATAACTATGTTTGACTCTGACTTTATTTTAAAATTGCAAATGTGTCATTTCTGAATGTGCACTTTTTAAGACTGATGATATACAGACATTTTATTCAGTAGTTGAGAATGGGGATGTAGATATTTTACATAATGAACCAGAATCTAAATTCAGCACAAAGGTGGAAAGTCACCGTATTTAATCAATTAAATTGATCTTTCTTTAACTTAATTGATTTTTTAATGCAATTGATCCCTTCTTTTCAAATGGACTTGGTTCATTACACTTGACAGTAATGATTATAAGGAACTGAGTTACCTTAATAGGCATTTAACGGGCGAAAAGAAGGCATCAGGGACCATGCCAATGTTTGAAGTTAATTGTTTTACGTGGAAAAAATGTAAATAGTTTCACCTTTTAAAGAGGCATAAATCAACAGTAAATACAGTAAAGGAACCTTGTAAATCCATTGTTTAAGACTAAACTGTATTGAGACTACTATGTATAAAATCAGGTTATTGGATGAAATGTTTAATCACAGAATTGGATCCTAAATGTAGATATAGCCTGTTTATTTACATATTACATGACATTGTACAAAACTTAGAGCCAAGACCTCAAATTATGATGCATAAGATGAATTTCTCAAATGACAATCTAAGCCACATGTAATTTGAAGATCCATGTAATTCAAAGTCTTTAAAATCAAATTTCTGACCCACCAAATGCATTGTCTATCTGATTGATTCTCTGGGTTTGGATTAGACATGACTTAAGGGTTTAACATTCAATAGGCCAAACATAATTTGAATTAAACATGGTTTATTAACATGACCTCATAATATATAAAAAATGATATTTGCTGTTTGTATTTTAAATGATACTTAATGGCAGTATAGGGTGAACCCTGTTGCTTAGAATCCACATTGAAACATTGTTTACTGAAGGATTTGATGCCATGTTCATGTGAAAGTGAGAAGAAAACTTTTCTTTCAATATAAAAAAAAAAAAGACAACTGACTCGACTTTGTTTTTGAGTTTTGTAGCTGAGAGATAACAATGTTTTCCAAAAGATGTTTTTCTGTGAATTATGGTTTTGGCTAAGCAATAAATAGTCACATAGGTTCTCAAGTTTATGGCAGTATCCGTGGTTTATGTAATATTTCAGTGCTCCGTGCAAATTACACATTCATTTTTAGTTTTACAAGTGGACTGTTCATGACAACTTCATTCCAGATGTGAAGGGGTTACATATTACTGTAAAAGTCTTCCATTGTCCTACACATTTCATATTTTTGGCAGTACTTTAACACCTTAAAAACAAAGATAAGGAAGTTGGGCTCGATTCTAAAGTGAACTGAACGCCAATGAAGGGAAACCAGTATAGGTGATATATGTTCACATTTACACGGGTTTGTCAAAAGGCGAGCAGCAGCATTTTGAACCACCTGGAGATGTGAAAGAAGTGACTGTGGGTCACTCCTGCATACAGCAAGTTACAGCAATCAAGCCTAAAACTGACAAAAGCATGAACTGCAACTTCAAAGTCATCATAAGCCAGGCCAGTGTTTCCACGTGTGCACAAGAAATCTAATGGGCACTGCAAAAGCTTTCTGCCACAAGGCAAAATGAAATCCCTCTTGACGTTCAGAGAATGCCTTTTGATTTTCAGGACTCCAATGTCTGCAATATGCTGATAGAGGGCAGCGATGAGTGCACAGTGATCTTAATTTACTCGAAATAGACAAGAAGAAGAAATGCATAACGGAAGTACGAATATCTCCCGCATGGTTTCACTATACATGTTTACTTGAAATAGACAAGAAGAAGAAATACATAACGGAAGTACGTATATCTCCCGCATGGTTTCACTATACATCCATGATCTGACGTCCCATTCAAAATAAAAGCGGTCCGACTACGTTACCTCAAATGCTAAAAGTACAGGCATTTTATGCTTGAGTTGGGAACTGATTTCTACAAATAAAATGAAAACAATCACTACTGTACAGGACCAATAAGCTTCAGAAGAAGAACGATTGTACAGTATATCTAACTGGGGACAGAAAACGTTTTATTTCGAAAGATTTAGACAGGAAAACATCGCTTCCGTGACATAAGGTCGATCAGCGGCTTTGCCTCGTAAAATTGCTAATTTTGACAACGGATAAGTTTGAGATTAAGATATAACGCTATCCATGGGGGGTAAGAATAAACAGCGCACTAAGGGAAATGTTAGGGTAAGTTTAAATATCTGTAAGTTAACTGACATTACTTGCTGGCAGCAAACCTGAGCACAAGCTAACGCTGATGTAAACATCAGGTTGTCGGCTAATGCTACAGTACGTGTGGTTGTGTTGCCTTATCTGGTTTATTAACACACTGTTTTATAACCACTACATTTCCGCCCCCCTAATTGTTCTACTGTTATTCGATTTTCTACAATCACACGTTTTTCTTCCGCTATTAGCCGTCCAGTAGCGGCCGAGCTGCTGAGGTACTAACCCGGGAGAGTGGTGTCATCCCGGCGTTTGTGGGCTTCGATACCACGGTCACTTCAGAGCTGAGTTACGTCCCCGCTGTCCACGGAGTGGAGGAGATAGACAACCAGGTGGATGCCGACTTCCGACTGGTGCTCAGGAAAATCTCGAAGAGGGATGTTATCACCAGACTGAAAGTGAGTTTAAACTTAGCCAACGTGTCTCAGGGCTCTTTTTGTTTGTGTGTTTGTATTCATAAAGTGTTCTCCTTTCAGGCTGTGCAGGATTTTGGGTCCATGTGTCAGGAACGAGACGCCGAAGAGGTTAAAAGGGTCCTACCTTATTGGCCAAGGATTTATTGCAAGATTTCAATGGTGAACTGCTCATCTTATTTTTATTTTTATTTATTTATTTGACCAAGATTCCCAGGAAGAGGGGACCTTGTATCTCAGTGGGACCTTCTTGGTTAAATAAAATAAATGTACAGTATCAAGTTTCAACAGAAAATGTATGAAATTAGTGACTGGAAATATCTCTAAACAAGAGGCTGCCTAAAGCTACAGTGTAAGGGTGACATTAATATGAATATGAGGGGTTGAGAGTAATGTGTCTACATTTGGAGAATTTTGTCTTGTTACCATGTCTGCCAGGATCATGATCGCCGCATCAGAGAAGCCACCCAACAGGCCTTTGAGCAGCTAGTGCTAAAAGTGCGTCGCAGCTTGGCCCCCTTTCTGAAGAGCTTGATGGGCCACTGGATTCTGTCCCAGTGTGACACTTACACTCCTGCAGCCTGTGCTGCGTGCCAGGCCTTCCAGGCTGCCTTCTCACCCACCAAACAGCCGGAGGCTCTGAGCTTCTGCAAAGATGAGATCCTTGGCGTGAGTAGATGTGCTGGATTTAGTTGCAGACATGGGGGTTTATTCTGTAATCTGTTGATCTTAATTTAATTAAAATTAATTGTTGGAACTGTTACACTGCAGGTGCTTCAAGATATTTTGTTAAAGGAAACTGCAGACACACTGAGCGATCCACAGTAAGTTAACAGTTAAAAGCAGCTCATTATAGCTCAGTTCCTCTCATTTTGTATGCACAAGGATAATATATTCTATCAGCATACTGACCGAGGCACTGGCTCCCCCTGTTCTCTAGAAGTGTGACAGAGGAGGAGCGAGAAGCTAAGTATGTGCGCATGCTGACCAGTTCACTGCTGGGGGTGAAGAGACTGCTCTCCCTGCTACTCCAGAGTGACAGGGAGGCCCTGGAGCAAAGACTAGCACAGCTTGTTAACTCTGGGACGTTCTGGAAGTACAGCAAACACAAGACACCACAGGTACTGAGAGTGAGTGGGGCTACTCTGCTTGAAGTAGAATGTATAACTAAGTAATTCATGTACTAGTTCATCTGGTATATGCATAAAATAGTTTAACTCAGACAAAATGAAGCATTGGATTGTATTCCATTTTATTTTCCTATATTCCTCTTAAACCTCTGAGTGGATTTTTTGTTTTAATAAAAGGTTGTAATTTGCATAGATTGATATGTGATATCCTAATAGCTGTGAATATGGTACAACCCCACTGTGAGAAGCCATCAGGCTCCCTGTAATTCCAAACAACCTAAGTAATTTCATGAGTGAAGTTTCATAAAGTGACTAAATTTATCTTTGGTTTTATGGAATGTTATTACTTTTCTTATTGTGGCTACATATACCTGTGAAGGCACAACATTAAAGCACTTCCTTCCAGGTTGCACACACATTCTGTTTTGTTTGTATCCTATAATATTCTGAGAAAAGTGCATGTGAAATGATATCTGATTGTGTTACCAGTTGCTGCCACAAGTAAGTATCTGTTGTGAGGATGATTTTTTGTTTTTTCTTCAGTAATACTACTGTGTTGGTCCACAGGTGCGAGGGGCGTTTTTTGAGATGGTGTGTGCTCTGTGCGAGTTCATTCCACAACTCGTCCAGGCTGAAGCAGCACGACTCTGCCCTGCTGTTCTCCTCAGCATTGACGACACAGATCCTGTAGTGCTGCCTCCTGTATGGGAAGCCGTTCTTCATGTTGTGTCTACCATCCCTGTAAGCTTGTGATTGACGGATGACCACACATCTATAGTAAAACTAATGCCATTATATTATCAGGTTTTCTATAATGCTGTTTAGCTTCTGATAGCTAGTGAAGGGAGGACTTAAATTAACCAGCATTAGGAGAGTCACAGATGTAGAGATACTAAAGTACATGTTTCTTTTTTGATGATCTAATTTACAGTTGCCTGTTTTTGATGTTTTTGTTCCTATTCTAGGACTGTTGGACTCATGTGAATGCAAGGAAGGGCTTTTTACCTAAACTTTGGGCTTTACTAAAAGAGGGTGGCAAAGGCATGGCTAAAGCGCTCCACCCTAATCTCATGCCACTCATCAGCAAACTGCCCCAACAGGTCACTGATCCGACCTTGGACTTCTACACCACCTTCTTTAATTCATTCATACAAGGGTAATTTGATTTTGTGCCTGTGTGCATTTACATTTGAGTCTAATAAAAGTCGGTATTACAATTGATCAAATTTCAAGTGAAATGTATCATGAAAATCAGTTAGTTGAATTCTTGGTTTACACATTTTACAAGTTTTTCCTGATAACAGTGGGAACAGCTCATTGCATTCAGCAGAAAATGATGCAGTAATGGTGATTTTTCCCCATGCTTGACATATTAACATATAAAATCACTTAATGCTCATGTTAATTATTGATTTTAAGCATATCAGAATTCCCATGACACTCTGCAACCTTTACTGTCTGTCTGTCTGTCTTAGCCTGTCTAGTGAGCGTGCAGCAATGAGTCCGTCGGAGAGTGCAGTCATAGTGACTTGTGTTGTTGAGTGCTTGAGGTACTGCATACTGCACAATGCAGAAAAAGAGGAGGGTCAGAGAAAAATAAGGACCATGCTTATTTCACAGCAGGTAGGATCACACAGTTGAAACACACTTCCCCCACTTCAAATCTACTGAAGCCTTTATTTTTCTTACATAGTTTTTTTTGTTTGCCTGTTTGTAGCTTCTCCCGCTCGTAGAGAAGGCTCTTGGAAATCCCTCCCTTCAGAGTGGTCCACTATTTCTTTTGGTCACCGAAATGCTCATTTCCTGGGAGAAGAGAGCAGGTTTACATAATGAGGGTGAAGATAATGATGACAAGAATGTCTTTCAAGATCTTCTTGCAGACTTCTGGGAGGGCCTTGGTTTTCTCTTTGTGCGTTATGTTGACAATGAGGAAGCAGATCCACAAGTTTTGGAAGGGGTAGCCATCATGCTGCAGGTGAGTTTAGTTTTTGGAAATCTTCATTCAGACCTATTCCTTATTCCCCACTGAAATGTCCATGTTGACACTAAAGATACAGGAAATCAATATGGCTGTCAGAGCCATTCATGTCTTAAAAAGTGGCTAAAGCGAAACAGAAATCACAACATCTAAATAAATCTATTCTCTGTGTCTCCAGGTGATGCGTTACCCAGAGAGAGTAAACAGAAAACACCTCCCGAAGAAGAAATCTGTCACGATCTGTTTCTCCAAGTCAAACAATGAGAAAAGCGAAGTTGAAGGGGACGGTGTTGAGAAGCCTGTCCCTGCGCTTCTGAATGAGGCACTTGGGTCCCTACAGACCCAGCATTTGGAGGACGTAGTGTGCCAACTGGCACAACTGTGTCTGGTGCATGTGAATGAGAACAACTCTGAGAGACATTTTGTTTTCCTCTCCCTTCTCCTGCGCTCTTTCCACACACCCAGGGTCTTCGGTGTAAGTCATATTTGATTGGTACTGAAAGAAGTGTATTTCATTCTCAGCTAATTTTATTTTTGTAATGTGTTTTATGGCTGGAAGCAGTTCTGGTTATCTAACAGATGTTTACACCCCATGAATTTGTCTTTGTAAAGGCCAAATCTGTGAAATATATACAGTGTATCCAAAGGGTTGAGTTCAGTACAAAACTTTGTGGTATGCTTTGAAAATGATTGGTGATAATCTAAAGGATGTGTAATATTTAATTAATAGGTTTAAATATGCAAAACCACTGGTATGGTTTCAATTAAATAACGAAAAGTACCTTTATTAACAGCTCTTACAGTTTCTTGATGCAACTGACTTCTTTTTTTTTTTTAATATGCTTATCTTAGACATTGGTCGAATTGGATGATAAAATACCAATGGACGGTGAAAGCAATGAGGTGAAAA